ATGGTCTCTAGTTCATGCTGTTATTATTTAGTGTCACATAAAGGCTAACATTGCTAGGTCAATAGATGGGCGAGTATTTTATCACATAAGTGTATTCATTCTCCTTAACATAGTTCCCAATTGTGACTCCTGCGGGTTGATCAGAACTTAGCTCTTTCTGTGTAGTTTGATGATATTCCTTACAGATGTCCTCTTCCTCTTTCCTTTCCAGTTTTCCTTCATCTAGTTTGCTTTGGGAAATTTGCTAAAAGAGAGTGAACAGTAACAAAGCTGGCAAGGTTCAGTACAGTTAGGCATAAGAGGGGGTTAGTGGGCCTACAGGATTTGAAGTTTTGTCTTAGTTTTCACCACACAGAAAGCCGCCATTCTGAAGCCCCCTCCTTGAGCACAGCTGGGAAAGTGTACCTCAGTGGTCACATGAGTTACAACAGCCTTCGGTGACATATGCACGGTGTACCACCCTGTGGCTCTATTCTGCTACTACATGTGGCAAGAACAAAAGAAACGGTAGAGTGTTTGGAGCCAGCACGAGAGAAAGGGAATATTTTTAATGTGTTGCAATAATTGATATTCCCCAAATTAGGAGGCGAGGTAGCAAGAATATGCAAATTTTCAAATGAGAATTTAATAACAAATGAGATATTTAATAACAAATTCTCAAATGAGAATTTAAGAACGTATGTTACATCACTTTTTATCATGTGGTCAGCTGGAAATCTCTGTGGATTTCTTTGTCTCCAGGTTGGACGTTTATTAGGACACAACGGTCGTTTTGTGTGCTTCTTCCTTGAGCCTACACCAGCATATTGTGAGAAGCCTTTGCTTTTCAGAATTGTCTCAGATTATGATGCCGCCTGAGAGCAAGGGACATGTGGGATGGTTGTCATGATCAGAACCACACAGTCTGGATTCTGTCCGGTTTCTAGCTCTCCCCTAGTTCAGCAAACACAAGATCATGGTTAAACCTCCGAGTTCCCATCTTAAAAGAGAAAACATACCTGCACGTCTGCTCTGGATACACTATCATCTCACGAGGCTGAGGATCTCACAGCATCAAATGATAAATCCTGAAATAAAAAAATTACAAGCCAACACTGATAAAGTTTCTATTTTGTAATTATTGAATAATAGTTGATAATTTATGGAGCTAATTATTCAAAGTCATTTAAAAGTAGGCTACTATCAAACACTACAACTGGGAGAAGTTTGGCACAATTGTAGGAATTTTTCATCCCACATTGAGGAAGCAAAAGGTTTAATAGAAAGAACAAAATATTTCTTAACTAAGTCACATAGTATTTTGTTCTATGTGTACTGACCCTAGGAGAAAGACAATTTGTGTGATAGAAACTATGCTCAGTAATACCTAAAATAAGAGTTTTAATGTAATCAGAGGTCTACTTTAAATGTGTGTGTTAAAACCCGAACAGATGGAGGGACAGATGCCAGAGCAATATAACTTGGCTTCCTGTGTGATTTTCATTGTTGATCGCAGTATGTGACTACCTTTCGGCAAAACCTGGACAGGTGTACCCTTCAGACTGCGACAAGGAATAGTGTGGGGAAGCCAGTTCATCAAAAGAATGACAAGGGAGAAGGAGATGCAGAAGACAGTGGGAGCCGTTCTTCTGTCCCACTTGGAAGCACTGCACTAGAACTGGCCTCTTAAAGAACTCTTTTTATATTCTACATGGTAAAATACTTTTATCACTGCTAAAGCGCGCTGCCAGATAGCGTAAGCTTCATATGTCAGAGGGCTGTCTAGGGTCTGTTTGTCACTTCAACACAACAACCTTGTGATTTTGCATTTCTTGTCTATTTAAATAGTAACTAATTATGAGGAATCATTTCAGCTTTCAGGTGTTTATCAACAAGTTATTTTCACATTGAGAATTATTCAAAATGGCCCTCGGGGCAGTCTAGTGGTGTTACTTTTCCATGTTATTCCACTCATGCATCATTTTGGAGAATGCTAAAGTCCAGTAATCCTGATTCCTTCCCTTCTCTGGACTGTATTTCATAATATATTTCTGATCGATTGTCCAACAGCTGTATTTTTAAAATGATATACCCCCTCTTAGTTTTCAAATTAAACTTCATGTCGCAGGAGAGTATGCAATGGTTTTCTGAATATGATTATTGAACAAGAGAATAGTTGTGTAGATTAATAACTAGGAGAAATCTGACACTGTTTTTTGATACCAAAGTAACTGAACAGTTGTTGGTGGCTTTTTAAATTTTAAATGGAGATATTTGTTGCTTTAAAATTAAGTGTAGGGAAACAAAAGACCAAGATCAAATTTCTTTTAAGGTTATTCAAAAAATGTTTTGAAGAGTTTACTACAATTTTATAATCATGTTAGTTTGTTGAACAGCTATTGAGTGATCACCCACACTGACCTCATTCCTTTTGATATTGCTGTACTGGGTACTGGGAACTTTCTCACCTGATTGAAACCTCTTATCTAATTCAAAAAATCAGTGACATGATACAGAATCCTGGGCTGAGCATTTAGCTCAGTGGCACAGCTCCTGCCTGGCAAGTGCAAGGTTGTGAGTTCAATTCCTGGTACCAGAAAAAACAAAAACAATAAAATAAATTTTAAAAAAGATACAGAACCCCTATATTTTAAGATCATATTTTATTTTTTCAGAGGCTGGGTTAGATATCTTTGTAGTCTTTCTGGACAGCCTAATTATCTCAAAAGTAGACTTTAAGATACATTTTGGTCACATATATTAATGGAATTAGGTTCCTTTTGCAGTAGATAAAATTAATTTCTTTAGTTAGCGTTTCTGTAAGCTTTGTATTCTATTTCAGAAAGTCTACTTTTGTCTACTTTAGTATCACGTGTGATTGTTAATTCAGTAAATCCGTACAGTGCTTCTGGTGTGTGTCTGGCCTGCCCGGGGCCCTGGAGCCCTGGCTGCAGGTCTAGAAGAGGTCCAGGAGACAGGTTTCCGTCTGCAGGCCGGTGCATTCGGAAGGGTGAATTCAGATTACTGCATACAGAGAGGAAGAAGTGCTGACATTACAGAGTGAACTGGTTAATGGCTTAGAATGACTGTAATGGGCAGCAGCATTTGACAAGAAACCCGAACGCAGAAAGAACCAGCCAACGGAAGAACTCTAGGATGAGACCCTTCACAACAGGACCACAGATGCTTTCATGAGCGCGGTGTAGGTAGAGCTTGCCAGGTGAAGGGGAGATGCTACCTGCTGAGGCCAGAGAGAAAGGCCAAGGCCGGGAGCACACACAGTGCCGTATAGGTCACTTAAAAGGACTACAGATTTTGTGCTAATTGCAAAACCACAACTCTAGAATATAGTGTTAATAACGGGGATAGTTGTACCAGTAAAGTTAATGTTGTGCCATATAAATAGCCAAGGTAGTAAAAGTTCCCTAATTTTAATTGAAGCTTGTATTTTTTTTCTTATTAAATGGCACTCTGAGTTAGCAGAACCAGTAAAAGTGCAAAACAGTTCATATTTGTTTTGCAGGGTGGCAGTGCCTCATGGTGCTGAACCCTGAGGGGGCCTACTCCTTAAAGTACGTTTTCATACACACTGTGTGCTATTCATTTCTTTGCATGTTTAGTATAATACCAGGCAACTTCCCTAATCTGCCTTAGTTTAGTGACCGTCCCATACACAGCCTCAATTTCACCCCATCTTTATCCAATATAACCACGGTATGTAATTAAGCGACATTTTCATGAGAGCTTGATATTTTCAGACACGAGGGTTGTGCTTATAGATAATGATTAAGTTTCTCCTTACATCTAAGTGAACCGTGAAATCAAGGTACAGCTTATGCGTTAAAAAAAAATACCTGGTTAAACCCAGTGGCTCAGAGGGAGCGTGCTTTCCTCATTGGTAACACAGCCGACTTCTCCTTTTGAGCAGCACCCTCCGTGAAGTGTTGGTCTCAGCCCCGTGTATTTATACTGGTGCAAATCAAACCGGCATTTCTTCTGTCACTGTTGTTGCTTTTAAACGTGGAGATTGTGAAAAAATGATAACAGTAGTTCCCTTTGGCACCAGGATTTCCGTGACAGGGCAAGCTTCGGGACTTCTGGCCACACCCTCTCATTCTGCAGAATCAGAGCCAGTGCAAAGCTGACTAATTTCACCATGCTGGGCAGTGACCTCATGGTCCACAAACACAGGTTCCATTGCTGCTGATATTATCAGGCTTCCATTTGTGATCACCTGTTAATCCTAGCAGCCCTGCTGGGAAGCTGATGCAGGAGGATCACCAGTTTGAAGCCAGCTTGAGTAAACTAGCAATTTAGTGAATCACTGTCTCAAAAAAAATTAAAATAAAAAGGGTCCAGTGCAAATCCCCTGTGTTCAATTCTCAAATAAGGGTCAGGGAGGAAAGGGAAGGGTGAAGAGGAGGAGAAAAACCGCGATATCCACTACTGAGAAGGGAACTATTCATGTAACACACTTAAAATCCTACGTGGTCAATGCTACAGATAAAAAGTATGTGGGAACAAAAGGGGTGCTGCTACCTCTATTTCATACCTCACCAATGAACTTGTTCTTACCCTGTGACTTCTCCTTCCATGGGAAGGACCTTATTTTTAAGCAGATGAGCTGATTTTATTGTGTTGGGTTCTACCTAGCCTTCAGTAGCTTACCCCTTTCCAAGTAAATTGACACTGATGTGTCCAGGAACTAAGGTTATGCATTTCCTGTCTGCAGAGGCGACGGTTTTGAGCTATGATGGGAGCATGTTTATGAAAATCCAGCTCCCGGTGGTGATGCACACCGAGGCTGAGGATGTGTCCTTGCGCTTCCGATCCCAGCGCGCCTACGGCATTCTGATGGCCACCACGTCCAGAGATTCTGCGGACACCCTCCGGCTGGAGCTGGACGCGGGCCGCGTGAAACTGACGGTCAACCTAGGTAACCACCCGCCTTCCGCCGTTCGACTAACACCCGGCACTGTCTGTTCAGTTCTGCCTGCAAACACTTACGGAGTAGCCTGTTTGTCATGAGAAGTTACAACACTTAATGGTCTTATTCCCATCCTCTAAATTAATTTAGATTTTGGGGGGCATCTTTTTGTTTTTGTTATGTTTAACATAACTTACTGTTTTGTGATTTCGACCACTGAAGGTTATTAAAAGCGAAGCCATAACTACCCGTGAGCTGAAAATGTGAATAATGAGGATTGAACTGGCCTCAAACTGAATTTCCTGTTGTATTTGCTCACTTTCTGATTGGTTAGAGGCGATGTCTCGGCAGATCAATGAAAATCTGCCTAACTTTACTTAGATGGTATACATGCAAAATTGCAAATTTCAGGGATGCCATCTAGACTAGCAGTTGATTTTACTCTTTCCTGGGCTTCTCCTTTGAATAGTCACCTTTGTGGTCCTCCATCCTTTAAGTACTGTGTGGTGGTATTTTGCTATCAAACAGCGATCCACAACCCTTCAATGCCCAAAGTCTGCGGCCCTTGGCAAACAGCCATGAGAGCACTGAGGACACGGTCTCTTCTACAGAAAGATAATGCTTTCCTGTTTATGTGTAGTAGTAGGAGCCCATCGCTACAGTAAAACCTCACCAGTCTGCATGAGTTTGAGGGGAAAGTCAGTCTGAGTAGAGAAAACATCTGAACGATAGATTCCAAAAAAGTAAGCAGTTTTGTTTTTGCATTACATTCAAAAACACAAAGTAACAGCTGGGAAAATCTTGTCAAGGGAAGGGCTCACTAGGTTGATTTTAATTCATGGATAAGAATCACCCTTAATGATCACCTGGTTTCATGCAAATTTCTGTCTTCAGCTTACAGCCAAGCATGTGAAATCAGTTTCTGTAAACTTGGCATTTCAAAACCTTTATCTTTCTGAAAGAAAAATTTGGGGGAGGTCTCTGTTCGTACCCAATGGAGATTTAATATTCTGCCCAATAAGTTTCAATGTGACAATTCACTCCAAGTCAAAGGAGTAAAAATGAATGAGGTTTTACTGTATTTTATGAAAGTGTTAAACACACAGGCAAATGAGCGATCAGTGGAAGAAAGATAAAATGTGAATCTACATAGATCTAGAGAAGGCCAGGAGGATGTGGCAACCCTACGTACATTTTCAAATTGTGCTGGGCAGAATGGTAAACCATGGAACAAAAACTAACCCCTCAGTATGTGAGTGCATGTAGTTTCATTTGATTAAACACCAGCAAAATTAAGTTCAATAATAAATTGCTTTTAAAACCTATTTAACGCAGCACCCTGCTTTCCCGTTCTGTTAGATTTCCCTCTAGTGACAAAGAGAGGTTACTACAAGCCAGTCAAAATACATCGCCTAATCATAGTACAGAGGCTACTGGTCAAAGTGGGAAACCCTCCTGGGAGCTTCCATCAGCAAAGCATTCTGTAGAAAGAGTTGTGTAGCTGCTGGTCCTTGGCTGTTTGCAACCACTTTTCTGATGCGGTTGACGACACATGACAAACTCAGCTATATGGAAACAGAATCTAGGTTTATATTTCTCATGTTCCCCAAAGGCGTTAAAACCAGATCAAAACGTATACGTCTCTCTATATACATTAAACACACACACACAGCACACTCTACGTTGTTCTTTCAAGATAACCTCTGTCATCAGTCTTTGTTATCCACATCAGACGTTCTTTTCGTACACTAGCTGCCTTTGTGCGAAGTGAACATAAGCAAAGGAAAATCAATAGCAGTGTTCACAGCACTTAACTGCACAGAGATCACATTGGTAGGTACAAAGGGAGGGGTAGGCTCGTGGGCCGAGAGAATGGCTCCGCAGTATACACACTGTTGTTTCTTTTCTCCTGCAATTAATACAAGATATGGCATCCAGCCAACATCTGCTGTCACTGCAGTGTGCCCAGGAAAATGAAATTTAAAAATAAACAGACAAACAAACAAACAAAACCCTTAGAGTGAGATGAGAATACTTTTAACCTGCTCTCCATTTGACCACGGCAAATTCTGAAAGGTTCTGTCGGCCTTTGTGGGATCCGAGATTTTAGAGGTCCAAGATGTCTGAGCCTAGCTGAGCCTGCACTGCGCCCCATTGTGACGGAGCACTTTTTAATTTTGCTAAAAGTGATGATATGTTCTTTCACAGATGGGGAGAAGGGTGCACCCAGTCTAGGCCAAGCATCTTTGACAGTTAACTAGTCTTTGTTCACTTAGATTTGTCACCATGTAGCTTTGTTTGAATTGGCCATTTTTGAAACATTCTATTGTTGTTTCCAATGGTGCAGTTTTATAACAATAAATCTGGGTTCTAGAAGTATGTAAAGAATAATGATATGGAGTGGCCATATTTGCATGTGTCTGTCCCCGGAAGGGTGGACTGTGATTTTATTGGATGTCTGCAGCTATTACCTTGAAGGATAAATTTTCATTTCTCATCTATTCTTCCCCATCTAGATTGTATCAGGATTAACTGTAATTCCAGTAAGTGCCTATTCAAAATTTTTAAAATGTTATTCCTCCATTATGATGTAAACTAGTCAAGAGAAAGAAAGCGAGCCAAACGATGTGTTTAGAAAAGTCACGACCTCATTTTTGAAGTATGCCAGTCCATCATCTGGGTTGTAAAAATTCATTCTGAAATCTGTACAACTGAAGGCGTTCTCACTGCCGTTCCTATTTCTACATGGGAAGAGAGGCTCTTAACAGAAGATGCAAACACCTGCCCGGACCTTCAGATGCTCCAAGTGGCATTTGTAGTTTGCCAGATCTTGGCGAACTCATACTTTCCATCAAAGCCAAATAAGAGAAAATACTGTGGGTCTTATTTCCCTGCTTTTACTGAAAACAAACATTTAACTTTTCTCACGTTAAGAATTGCTATAAAATCCTTCTAAACTCAGTCAAAGTTTTACCTAGCAGATTATGTCTGTCTGCATTATAGGGTCCTAGAAAATTATGGACTTAAAGAGTTTGTCCTTGATCATGAAGACTATTTACATAATGAATTTTTACATCCTAATCATGTATTTGAAAAAATAACCAAAGCCCTTCAAATCTGTGATATGCATGCCAATTGATGAGTCCGGAAAGATGCATGGACTGCGTTTTGTTGGAATTTAGACTAGACATGTGAGAGGATGTGAGGACTGTGGTTTTATTTTGGGTTGTATTACCTGCCAGGCAAATTCATTGTGTGTCTTTACATCAATGTTTAGGTTTTGTCTTTTCCAGGTTTTGCTGGCCACATAAAGGGATCTCCTTCAGTGATCACACAGTCTTTAGCTGTTTAACAAAATAGTTCTAAAAAACTTCTAAATGTACAATATTAGTAAAATACTGTTCTAGACGCTTGGAAGAATTCTCAGTGTAAGTGGATAGAGTTTATTTCCTTCGCTTTGGGCTGTGCTTCCAAATGGCAATAATTCATTCATCGAGGAGCAACACGGTGGTCCCAAAATTACAAAAGGCAGGGCTGGGGATATTGCTCAGTGGCATAGTGCCTGCCTGGCAAGCGCAACATCCTGAGTTCAATTCCCGGTACCAAGAAAAAAAAAATTGCTAATGAAAGACCATTTATTTCTGATAAAGTTCACATTATCCTAGTTCTAATCATATAGCCTATATTTATATTCATGTATTTTAATATTTTTAAAGTAGCATAAAAGTGAGTCTTCCCAGTCACAGCTATGAAAAAAAAATAACTGAATTACAACATTAAAAAAGTAATTATACACTGCAGCATGCCAGGGATTAAAAAACTCAAATAGTATTTCCACAAGTAAAAACTTAAAGCTCCTAAAAATGGAATTTTTCAAGTATTTATCATCTCCTCTCCAGCCCGCTCTCTATCCCTTTGGAAGAGGCGCTCACATTTTGTGGGTCTAATCAATGTTCCAGCGCTGGTAAAGTGGCAGCTCACAGCCTCATCTCCCCGAAAGCCAGACTTGTGCCTGGTCCAACTATCTATTTTCCTGATGTCTCCTGAATCTCAGAAAAGCTTTATGGGGAAAACATTTCCTTCTGTAATTCCACCTTCTGTATTTTTTATTTATGTCAAGCAAACCATAAACCGTTGAGCTTTATAATTATAAAATATATCTAACTATTTAAAATGTATCTAACAATCTAAAATGCAAATTCTAACAGTAAGTTGAATTAACCAAATCATATGTGATTCTCTGTTCTTCAGAGATGTCAATACATTTTTAAATTATGACTTTCTAGTAAAATTATCCTTGTTGGACTTATGCCCTCATTCAGCTAAAACTGTGAGACTCTGGTATTAAGGGTAGTTTTTTTGTTTTGTTTTGTTTTTTTTAACCTCCTCTGGATATTTGACAGTGAAATAACTTTGAAGACAAAGCTTTTCCCTGGTTAGTGGGTTTTCCCCTCTTTAGGAGTACTTTGTACATTCGAATTACTTGAGATACATGATGATGGCGAGCTTTTAGTGCACCTCCCGGACAGGACGGCGAAAGCCCTCAGTTGACAGCAGTGGCCGGAAAGGACGCTCAGTGAGCAGGTAACGCTTCCGCCTCCTCTGGGGTGGGGTTTCTCTCTTTTGGGGAGTAGTGGGCACATGTAGTTGGAAGCTAAAGTCCTATTTTAAAAAAGATTTAACTTTGAGAGATGGTAGGCATTGACACATACAGTAACACGGCCCTAGCTAGCAGTGATTTGATGAAGAGATTTCCATGTGGGGTTCAGTTGTTGCCCAGTAAAATTAAAAATATCTGTATCTCAGTCTAACTCATAGTTTAATGAAAGGCTGATAGATTCTATGCGTTCAGACTCCTAGGTTTCTCTGAAATGAGATTAATGTACTTTTAATGACTCATAGCCATATAACACTACTGTCTCAAAATTGTACCACAGGTATGATATCAACAGTATCTTGTAAGATTAATATGAAATACTTAAATTGACATTTTTAAGGACAGTATCAAGGGAAATATGTAAGCCATAAGTGCTCTTCTTACATTGAAAATGAATATTAAAGTCTAAATTATTAATGGAAACCTTAAATTTCCATTAGTAATAATTAAAGACTAAGTTAATAAGTGGAAACCTTAAATTTCCCTCTATTTACTTAGAATTGCTCTGCAGATTTCTGTCGTCCCCTTCTGCTTTCCCATCCTTCCTCCACCGAATTTCCCACATCTGTACTTGATGCAGGAAAAGAGCATTTGTGCAGTGTCACGGTTTCCAATCTTCGGTATTGAAGAATGGGTGAGGAGGGGAGAGGGGTGGGTTGTGTGTATTCAAGGTGACAGGACTGTAGGAGGTGACAGGTACCTCTCCTCCCCAGCCACTCCTGAATCAGTAGTTCAAAGGCAGCGACTGGGTCCACCATGGACCATCCCGGGGATGGCCTTTTGTGAATTTCCTGACAAAGGGCAGACTTAAATTCAATGAGTTATCTCTCTGAGATCACCTCTGTCTACCATTTTCTCCCTCAGTGGAAAGGCTGCCAAGAAATTTTAACTGAAAAAGAAAGGCGCCTCTTTTCATTTAGATGGAAGATTATTTTTGTGTGTGGATATGGTACTTAAGAAAAAGAGCCATCTCTATGAATAGTGGCCATGTCAGTGTCAAAATGAATGCTTTGATCTTTCAGATTGCAGACAGAATGTGCCTTCACAAAATCCCATGGCCGTCTCAGTTCATTGGTATATATTAACATATCATTGCTAAAATATATATTTTTTGGCTGCAACTGGGAATTAGATCTAGACCAGTTTTTGAAAATTCGTGTACTGAACAGGGAGCATAGGGACATGCATTATCCATGGCTTTCTCTTCTCCTCTGCCCAGGGTGGAGATGGAGAGATGTTAGCCTACTCTCTGCTCCCAGTGCTCTCCGATATTGAGGACAGGAAACTGTCACAGTTCAATAGTTTTATATTGAAGTTGCTAAAAGAGACATTATCTTTTAGTGCTGATAAATTCTTCCCCAAACAATGAAGGGTATTTAATAAAGTAGAGGACAAAAACTATACAGTCACATTCTTTTAGCACAAAGAAGAACGTTGTTTGAATTAATAAAAGATTATAGACTACTTATAAAAATCATCATACAGATTTATACTAACACAAAATACTAGACAATTGTGAAATGAAGACAAATCAGACCAAATAAAGTGCTCTTTCAACTAGCAGAGACATTGTTTGAATGAAAGGGTGAGTAACAATCTCTTTCTTTGACCGTGGTATTAAATGACTCAATAAGTCTTTGAAAAACAAAACTATAAAGACCTCAAAATGAATTTTCTTTGCCCGGTGAAATTTTCTCAAATACAGGACATGGTCACATTCTGCATCCATTTTGTTTGCCAAACTACATGGTTTAATACCTCGGTACCTCTATCTCTCAGACAGTGAGGTAGTATCAGTTTTAAAGCCGATGCTCTGTAATTCCAAACAATACATCCAAACTCATTAGGCTGCACATTTCTTTTTTCTGAAAAATTGGTCTCTGTAATAGTATACTACTTGATTAAATAGCCCCAAGATTTTCTCTCTTCTGGCAACCTCAAAAATTTTTAGTATTGTAGTCTTTAAAGATTTAAATATATTGAAATTTGAGAACTAACCTTGCTACTGTCAACTATAGGTGAGCTGCAATGATCATATAATTAACTCCTTTAATTATGTAGCAGACCCAGGAAGGCTTCTATGCACTTTGTTTTTACTTTCAGTACCTTTTATTTTTTTCCTACTAATGAAGTCATTGCAGAATGTCCTTCTTGTCCACAGGAAGACATGGGGCCGCTTCTACACCCATATCAAATGCATTTTGATAAACTCATGACCTCTGAGGCTTGCTTTGCTCGTTGGCAGTGTTTGACTTTCTGTATGCCTTGTGTATTTATTTGTCTCTTCTCTGGCCTGCCTCCTTGCTCTTCCTCCTCCGGACTTCACTCTTCTTACTTTTCCATTTCCAAAGTTGCTGTCTCTAACGCTCTTTCCTTTACTTTCTTATAAGAATAAAAGATCTCTGGGTTTAAAACATTTATTTGAACAGAACTTCCAATTCCTTTTGGTAACTCAGTGAAAGTGGCTTCAAGTACAAAAACAACAAAATTCCAGACAATACTAATGGAGACAAAATGTCACAGGTTGAATTCAAATTTGTTTTTGCACTTCAGTGCCCAAGTACTGGAGACAAAACGAAATCTAAGGGCAAGTACTTAACCTCCCTGTTTACCTAGGGACAGATAAGAAACAGTCTGAGCAGTATGTTATTGGAAAATACACTTTGATGGATGTCTGGGATGCATAATAAGATCTCAGTATTATCATTTTATTACCAGATTGGAAGGATCACTTGGATATTAGTTATCACCAATTTTCCTATGTAGATAAAAATAGCAAGCAATAAAAGAATGCAAAATGCCAACCAGTGGCACTTAAGCCGTGTTAGATTGCTCTGATCAGGCTGCTCCTTGGCGAGCCACTTAAACGGAGAAGAGGAGGTTTCT